AAAAAAAAAAGCACCACATAGGCAGCTCAGTGAGAAAGCACTGGGTTAAGTCACCAGTAACAGGACAGAGGGGTTGTGTGTTATAGATTCATTTGTCTGAAGAGACTGCCCAAAAGTCTATTTGTTTCTCCCAAAGACCAAGTAACTAAAACCACAGCTTTGGAGTCCATGCGCATGGCAAGACTTAAAGGAATCTCTCATAACTGAATTGCACATTGCTGAAGGTAGGGATTGGGAGAAGAGCGCAGAGGCATCTAGAAGGCCTGGGGAGAGGGATTCTTCCCTGCCTCAGAAAGACAGCACTCATCAATGTCACAGATTGCCCAGGAGAACAGTTGGCCGTTTCCACCTGAGAGGAATCAGCTTAGTTTGCAGATACACAGACTAGAACCCCAAGACGCGTCTTTGTGAATGGAAGGCCTGTAGAGTTCTCCTCTGAAGTGGGAAGCAACACCAGTGATCACACATGCCGGGGTCCAGGTGTCTCCTCCTAGTCCTTAGGCAGCTTAGATAAGGAGAGGAGAGCAGGCCAACCCAGGCCTGGAGCAGCAACTGACAATGCCCAGGGTGAGAGGGGAGGAGGAGGGTAGCTGCCCCAGTGGACGAAGGAGTTTGTACAGAGTTCATGGCTGCACTAGATAAATCCCCTGCCAGTGGTTATCCCACTCTACAGGTAGACACAGCCTGTGGAGGTAGCTAACTGCGGTACAAGTTGTGATCAAAAACACACTAAATGTTTCAGTTTCAAAGAACTTATTATGTGAAAAGACACATTGCCAAGAATGATGGGATAAGTGAGTTCTGGAAGCAAGGGGACGTGTCTTGGGTATTTTGAGGAGGATAAATGGCCATGTGTCTTTTACTGCAATGCATTTTTCACTTGAACATTCACTATTTATTTTGATCGCCTCTTGTATATGGCCCATCAAATAGCTCTATTTCTAGTCCTCCTTCTTTACCCATAGACTCTCCAAATGCAGACCTCAGAGACTCACAGGTGATCTGGCATTAAGATCAAAATCTTAGAGCTGGATGCCCCAATACACTGACATCAGCACTAGTAACAAAGAGTCACAAATTCTTCCTGATTTCAGAAAAAAAGACTGTATTTTTCCTTTTTCATCAAATTGTCCCATACCTTTCGCACTCGCTTTTCTTCATGTGATATATATCTAGATTGGTTCACACCTTTATATTTGGTAATACTGAAGCTTGCTACCTCTTTATTTCCAGTTTGTAAAGAGCCTAGTAGTTCCACGTGGTCCATGCCCCATGTTTCAGGAGCCACTACTTTGGCAAAAGATTGGAAAGATAGCTGGAGCCACACCAGTGTTGCTTCACGTTCTCTGGGTCTGTAAAGCTGTTTAGCTCTCTGGGTCACTAGGGTGAGCTGCACAGAACCCCAGGACTAGGGAAGGAGCAAAGTGCCTTTCCCTACTTTCACTGCACAAACTGGTTTTTGTGCCGTGTTTTTCCATCACACCTATTTTGTAAACCCAGACCATGCTTGTGGTGAGGTTTTGCAAGGAAGCTTAACTTTCTCAGCCAAGCTCCCTTCCCTTCCCAGTGCTGAGGCAGCTCCACTAAATACCACGCTGAACTGCTCTTTTCCCAAACAGGAGGAATGTCTTTCTACCTACAGCCTGCTGTATCTTGATAGGAATATTTTTAAAATGTCCACAAGGTAAGGCCAGGGTGCTATTTGGCAAAGGCATGAGTGCTAATTTTGCTTTATGCTTTATTTTTTGAAAACTTTTTGTTGTTTTGATTTTGGAAATAGTCGCTGATTGCTGGCCTTATCAGCTCAGGACAAGTTTTGCTGCTGTTACTGATTCTTCTTTAATGTATTGAGTAAGCATTCATTGAACACCTTCTGTGTGTCACCTTCTGGAGTGGGCATGAGGTGACTCACACTTCTGCTTTCAGGGAATTGGCCCACAAGCAGATCAGACTTGAGTTGGGCCCGGTCATCTCCCCCTTACTTGTCTTTTGAGCTAAATCCCACTTAGAATGAGACAGTGTGAAGATTCTTGTGGTTGTTAGTAAAATAGTCTTTGCATCTTTGCTCCAACAAAGATGACAACAAACAACCTGAGCAAGTTGCTGGCCTCTTGGCATCCTGAGAACTGACTACAGGAGTTAGGGACTTCCAGAGCTCTGTGGTCACAACCGTCTTTCAGCTTTGAGTTACTGCCTGCTGTTCCTGCTTGAGCCCATGTAAGACATTTGGGCACCGGAGAAGCTGCCCTGTGTGGCTTCCTGGCCTTAGATCACCCTTTCTGGTCAGTAGGGCCTGACTGTGGTCATCTGTGAGTGACCACTGTTCTCTGAGTGCACTGTATGCATCTGTACAGGCAGTAGTTTTGTGAGTAGAACCTGTAGTTAGTGTAATAGTTATGTGGATGGAATTTCCAGGTAGACCAAGTTAGTCAGAGATGGAGAAGCCCTCACTTTTCATAGGTCACACAGCTCCCAGGGAGAGCCAGAGGATCCTAGAAGCTTCCCAGGACAGGTTCCATAAGCCTGGGCTAGCCATCCTCCAATTCACACTGAATAAAAGTAACAAATCTGAAAACGCATTCTGATCTGTGCCCTGCATAAGCAAGCTCTAGAAGAGAATATTGTGAGGCCATCTATGGGGGAGGAGTCTACTAATTTTGGATTTGCTAAGAGGCCTTGGCTGACATGTACCTCTCCATGCTGCTTAGAAAATGCTTGCTAGTAGACTTACTATCAGATAGTAACGATAACGATGGCTAGCACTCAGGCCATGATCACCAGCACCAGGCACCTTCTAAAACTCCATGTTTGAAGTCTTTAAGTCATTTTATCTCACTCAACTCAAACAAGCAGGCTGCATTGTTGTTGACATTAGTCCTGGTTCACAGATCAGCATCTATGATGTATCAAGCTCCTTTGAGGTAATGTCTAACTCTTCATTCTCAACATGGGATGCCCACGATTTCTCTCCTGCCTGCTGGGCTGAGAGGCAGCCCAGCCCTGCAGATAGCCTGGCCCTGTCTGCACCCCGTGGCACCACCGACCTGTAGCAGCACCCCTGCCCTCTTCACAGTGCACATTTTCAATCTACAAAATGTGAGGGATCTCAGTGCCACCTGTAATTGTGAGGATTACCTGAATTTGTAGACACAAGACACTTGGTGCAATGCATTGTACACAGGAAACACTGTTACTTTTCTTGGCAATTGTTTCTAGCTTCTTCGCCAGTGCCTCCTAATAGGAGTCATTCTGGAAAGCCTCCACCTGGTGCTCTCTGAGTGCTGTAATGCTTCAGGGTTTTGCATATGTTGGCCCCTTGCATAGAGCACAGTCTCCTTCTCCTTCAATTAGAAAAAATCTTTTTTTTAAAGCTATGATCAGCTTAAATATACCTTCCTTAGCAACCTTCTGTTAGTGCTCCCTCTTCTCCAGGTAAAGATCCCCTCCTTCATTTGTTATCTCAGTGGCTTTCTAACGTGCATTTATTGAGCTATACTTACTAACAACTATCTAATCTTTACTGAGCACTTATTATGTGCCCAGGAGTATACCAAATGTCATCCTTGCTATTTAAAAAAAAATACATTGAGAGCTCTATGACATAGAGCTGTATTTTGTGAAGATAATTTCATGTGCCTGCCTCTCCCAGTAGACTCAGTGGTGGCTTACACATCTGTGTGGGTTCCCCACTTTCTGTGTCTGGGATGTGGCAGAGTGCCTAATTAATACACAGTGGGCTCTCTATCAGTATGGAAGTGAATGTGTTTTACCAACAGCTATTTATATCCAAATAATAGACTAGTTATAAGTGACTCTTTTAAAATAATATTCATGCTTTTTTATTCCAGAAATTTATTGTCAAAATTTTAGACGAGATTGAGAAGCAAGAAGGAAGTTAAAATTGCACTCCTCCATCCATAAAGAACTTACGCAGCTTGCTTAGGAACACACCATTAGGACCTGAACATCAGCACCAGTGCCTCCCTCTTGAGAGCCCAAACTTTTACTGCTGTGTTATACTGCTGATCCTACTTTTAAACACACACACACACACACACACACACACACACCCACACACACACCCCTTAACCTCTACGTAAATTATACTAGCTATTAAAATGGATTGGAAGAACTAAAGTTTGAAATTAAATCGACCACACAGGTGATATTGCAATACAAGAAATCTACACTTAGTAGTCAGGGCTGGGGATGTGGGTCAGTGGTAGCAAATTTACTTCGTATGTGGGAGGCCCTGAGGTCTATCCTCAGGACACTCCCAGAAAATCATAGTCTCCAGTCTTCCTAGGATTCCCTGCTTCTGGTTCTCTCAGTCATTTACAGTTGTGCTGGTGAATATCAACGAGGGGGAGAAGGAGAGAAAAATAGAGAGAGCGGAGTGGTCAGGTGAAAGGGAACAGCTTGTAACTCAGACAAACGTGGGTTTGGACTCCAGCTCAGCACCTTGCTGTGTGGTTAGGAACAAGCTGCAAAAGTTCTGTTGGTCATAGTCTCTTCTTGAGATAGAGATAATTAAAAGTACTTGGCACATTTTGTAAAGTTTAGAGGTAACAACAAGATGGTGATGACCGTCGGGCTTGATTAATGGCAGGTCTTTCTCGTGCTGAGACTCTACCGATGAGAGACGGTACCCCGTGACTTGATGGTTTGGTTTACATAGCTCTGCAAGGCTCCCACATCCAATCCCTTACTTTGACTGTCCTGGCAATTTAACTTTTACATTTCTGTTAGGTGCTTTTAATAACTTGCTATGGGTCATTGACTTAGAAACTCAAGAGTCCTCTCTCATAGGATCTCTTTTGAGATAAGGAGAAGTGGAGAATTTAGGGCATGAGAGCGACTTTCAAAGAAAAGCCGATCATTGTTTTCATTCAGCTCTTGTCAATGTTTTCTCTTCTCCTTTATCAGCGAGCTACTTCTCAGTGGACTCCTCTGGCCAGATGGAATGCTCTTGTTTTCTTGAAAGATGAAAGGAGGCAGCCATGAGTGAGCCAATAGACAGTTTAGTAAATGCTTCTGATTTTCCCAATGATGGAGCTGCTTTTGGAAATTGCACTGATGAAAAAATCCCATTCAAGATGCATTATCTCCCCATTATTTATAGCATCATTTTCATCGTGGGCTTCCCAGGGAATGCGGTGGCAATTTCCACTTACATTTTCAAAATGCGGCCCTGGAGAAGCAGCACCATTATCATGCTGAACCTGGCCTGCACAGACCTGCTGTATCTGACCAACCTCCCTTTCCTGATTCACTACTATGCCAGTGGTGAAAACTGGATCTTCGGGGATTTTATGTGCAAGTTCATCCGCTTTGGTTTCCACTTTAACCTGTATAGTGGCATCCTCTTCCTCACCTGCTTCAGTGTTGTCCGCTACCTTGTGATCATTCACCCAATGAGCTGTTTTTCCATCCACACAATTCGATGGACAGTGGCCGCCTGTGCCGTGGTGTGGGTCATTTCCTTGGTGGCTGTCATGCCCATAACTTTCCTGATCACATCGACCACCAGGACCAACAGATCCGCCTGTCTGGACTTCACCAGCTCGGATGACCTCACTACTATCAAGTGGTACAATTTGATTTTGACTGGCACCACCTTTTGCCTCCCTTTGGTGATAGTGACTCTGTGCTACACAACCATTATCAACACCCTAACCCAGGGGCCTCGGACGCACAGCTGCTTCAAGCAGAAAGCCCGAAGGCTGGCCATTGTGCTCCTCATTGTGTTCTATATATGTTTTTTACCCTTCCATATCTTGAGGGTCATTCGGATTGAATCTCGCCTGCTTTCCATCAGCTGCTCGGTTGAGAATCACATCCATGAAGCCTACATCATTTCACGATCGTTAGCTGCCCTGAACACCTTTGGGAACCTGTTACTATACGTGGTGGTCAGCAACAACTTCCAGCAGGCCATCTGCTCCTCAGTGAGAGGGAAGCCCAGTGGGGCCCTGGAGCAGACAAAGAAAGGCAGCTGCTCGATGAACCCTTAAAATACTGTACTTACAACAACAACAACAACAGTAAAAAGCGTGTTGATTCTTTCTCTATCACTGCTAACAAGTCCAGACTACTTCACCCAATGGAATTCCTAGTAAACATTGTGAATTTGGGTTATTTTATGCCAAAGCCAAGAACAGGACAAATTGTTCTTTGCAAATGTTTGTTGAGGTGCTCCTGAGGGTGGAAATAAGAATAAGACACTTATACAATTATCAACCACTGGGACGCAGGGCATCTGGAAGAATATTGTTCCTGCCAAACTTTGCTTTAAACTGATTAAACTAGAGATTAATCAGTTTTGTGGATTGATGTAAGCCAATGAAAACAGCTCATTGATGTGCATGTGAATGGCTGCTGCGAGTGCTTGCGAGGTACTTGGTGTGTTATGTTGTTATTGTCATAAGACATCTTCAAAGTTGTTATTGAATGCATTTATAAAAATTAGCAAGTCATATTTGTAATTATCAACATTAGCTAGGGAGAGAGAGACACATTTGGGGAACAGAAGTGCTTTCAAGTGTCATGTACGTACTGGGCATGAAGGCAAATCTCACACTTGATTTCTGTGGCAGAATGCTAGGGAAACTCTAAGTGTAGATAGATTTTCTTTTTTTAATGACCATAATGTAAATATATCTATTGAAACAGTTTTGATTTATCAGTTTGCTTGTCAATAAGTGTAAATATTTCAGAATATACCTAGCCATGACACTTAGAACTGTAATAAATATCTTGATATAATTAATAAACTTATTTTTTAAAATCACTGAATAGGTTGGTTGTATTTTTTTTTCCTGCAACAATGTTACTTTGCCACTATTATATTGACATGAATCTTATTTTGTCCCTTGTTTGGAGACAAAAAGGATTTGACAAATCACTCTAGAATAAGGCTGGAATTAATGGCTTCATCAGGGATTCTTCATGACTTCCAGGTTGTCTAGAACACTGCCTCTGACTTAGTCCTAAGTTAGGATGCCCCCCAGGAGCCCCTGGCAGGATGTAGGATGGGTGGGAGAGCAAAGGGGAGTTGACAACTCTGAATGTGAGCTTCCCTGCAGCATCTTGGTCCTCTCTATCCAGCTTTCCAGCTGTCCTCGCTTGGGCTTCTGTAACCTAGACAGTAAGCTATTTCCTTTGAAGATTGTGCCTTGCTCTGTCATGATGTTTGCACAGGAGGTTCAGAGGTCCAGGTGGAACCTAGGCAGCTCTCTGGCTCACTCTTTCTTTCTCTTTCTTTCTTTCTTTCTTTCTTTCTTTCTTTCTTTCTTTCTTTCTTTCTTTCTTTCTTTCTTTCTTT